ATACATAAATGATCAGAATGAAAAGAGAAATCGATTAAGCGGTGACTGTCTGTCCGTCCGTCCGTCCGTCCGTCCGTCTTTCCGTCCGTCTGTGCACACGATAACTCGAGTAAAAATTAAGATATCTTAACGAAACTTGGTACGTGTACTTCTTTCGGGCGTAGGACGGACGGTATTGAAAATGGGAAAAATCGGACAATAACCACGCCTACCTCCCATATAACGGAAATTTTCAGAAATACAAAAACTGCGATATTTTGGTAACTACTGAAGATAATTCACTCAAAATTGATATTTATAATAAGTTTTAGACGAAAAATAAGAATATTAGCATTTTTTTAAAATGGGCGTAGCCACGCCCACTTATGGTTAAATGTGTATATCTTGGTAACCGCTGCATCAATTTATTCCAAACTTGGCAAAGTTGTAGCAAATGGCCGAAAATTTTTAAAATCGGACAATAACCACGCCCAGATCCCATATAACGGTAGTTTCGAGAAATACGAAATCCTCGATAAATCAGTAAATATTAAAGCTAATTATTCAAAATGATGGTTGCAACAATTCTTTGCCAGGAAATACGTTTTTGATAAAATTTTGGAAAATGGGCGTGGCACCGCCCACTTATGGTCACGTATATGTATCTCGCTAACCGTTCTAACATTTTGTACCAAACTCGGTATGGTTATTGTGCTTGCCACATAAATGTAAACCATTGAAAAGTGTTGAAATCGGACTAAAATTACGGCCGCTTTTCATATAACGGTAAATTTCAGAAATGCTTGAAATTTCAATATTTTGAAATTTAAGGACGCTATTTACTTAAAATTTATACACCGCCGGCTTATCATGTAGCGGTAGCTTTCGGAAAGGTGGAAAACATATATTTAATACTTGCGCCGGGTATTTAATGTTCGGCTCCGCCCGAACTTAGACTTTCTTACTTGTTTCGTTTACAACTGGTTCGAAACTATAGAAAGTGAGGTGCAAAGCGAACTAGATCCCATATGTCGAATTTAGGACTGGTTCTGAACTATAGAAAAGGTAATGCAGCGGGGGACAATTTCCTATTCCTATGACATCGCTGTGTTAAATTCGCCAGTTGTTTGCATGCAAAAGAGATTTATCGCGAACTAGTAGTGGTTCTAAATGTACTAGAAGCGCAGCATTTCAAAACTAGAGATTTTCCCTACAGGGGAAGTTTTGCTCAACAGCCAGTGCTCGGATGCTCCCATATTTGTGAAATAGATAACACTTTTTTTTTGTTAAATTACATTTCTACTACTTCTACCACCGTAAGCTAAAAAACTTTCAGATCTTGAAACTTCTTTTGTTTTAATTTGTTCATTTGCGCATTAATGAATGGGTATTTTCTACAACAGAAAACAACATTGCTTGCTGCGACGTCGACACATGGATGATATTTAGGGGATTCCCTTAAGCTCGAAAGTGGCTCGAAAACCACGAAACCTCGAAACTTTTCCAGCCTCGAAAAACAACTGTCAAAAATTGTATGAGTGGCGATTTTCGCGTGCGTTTTCGAGGCAAATTAGTCGCGAAAAAAGCCTCGAAAAGTCGTTCGTAAGTTTCAGTGTTGCCTTTATATCCGAATATTCTACGAACTTACTAACCTTGGCCCAAATATTTCGAGCATCATTAAATTGTTGACTGCGTTTTGATCAATAAATTCATACAATTTACATTTTTCACTTTTTCGTGGCATTTTCAATGCTGATTTTATATGTATTTATTTCAGCTGATGCGATGTATTATACAAAAAACTCTGAATGAGCTGTCAAACTTCGGAATTTCTCCATTGTTTACGAGGCTGAAAAAAGGTGCATTCCCAAAAACAGCCTCGAAAACTTTCGAGGTTTTCGAGTTTTCTGCTCTTCGCGTTTAAGGGAATCCCCTAATTGTTACGATTATCCTCGAAACCTTGAGGGATTACCCAAATATACTCGGGCTCGTATCGCTGGATTGTTAAATAAATGCTAACGATGACCGAATTGTAGTACAATTAACTTTATTGTACAACAAACAATTTACAATACTTGCTAATACAGTAAAAACACTTTACAATACTTGTTAAAGCAATAACAACGCTTTACTACTTGTTAACACAATTAAACTTATAGCTTGCTTATTCGCAACTCGATTCTCCGCTCACTTTACTTGTAGCTTGCTGACTTGTAACTGTCTCAACTCCGCTGTGTCGTGGCTCTTATATACCTGCGCTCACACTTATGGCAACTCTAGAACGTTCTGAAGTTTATCGCTCATTCTCTTTCTCTCGCTGTTCGCAGTGTTCATCCAACTTGACGTTTCTCTTTGTGGAACATTCTACGTCATTCCTCGAACATTCTGCCTATTTCTCGTTGTTCGCTTTGTGTTGCCGCAGTATTCGCCACACTGCCCTCCACCTAAGTCTGATCGTCCCGATCAGACACACTTGCGGTTCCAAACGCTGCAAGCCTTTCCAAGTGGACCACCTTCATCTTGTTTCTTGGTCTCCCAACGGTCTGGATCCGATACACTACGTCATTTAGCCGTTTTACGACCTTATACGGACCTTCCCAGTTGCATTGTAGTTTTGGGGACAAACCTTTCTTTCGTTGTGGATTATACAGCAACACCAAATCTCCTTCCTGGAAACCCTCGGAATTCATCGCCTTATCATACCTGGCTTTCATCTTGTCACTCATAATTTGTGTGCGCTGTCTCACAAGAGCATGTATCTCTCTCAGCTCCTCTTCCAGGATGTTGTTGCCGTCTCTTTTCCAATCCTTCTAGCATCACCAGTCACCAAACTTCAGATCACTAGGCAAACGGAGCTCACTGCCGAATATTACCCTTGCAGGAGTTTTACCCGTTGTTTCATGCACTGCTGACCGGTATCCCATCAGGAACAAGGGTATGCGGACATCCCAATCTTTTTGATTCTTGTCCACGACCTTCCGCAAATGCTCTTCCAGGGTTCGGTTGAACCGTTCCACCATGCCGTCTGATTGGGGATGAAGAGCCGTCGTTCGAGTTTTCCGGATACCCAGTATCTGGCACATCTCTTGGAACACTGCCGACTCAAAATTTCTTCCCTGGTCAGAGTGCAGCTCTATAGGTACACCGTATCTCGCAACCCAATTGTAGGTGAATACCTCCGCTACTGTTTTAGCTTCCTGGTTTGGAATCGGGTATACCTCCGGCCATTTGCTAAAGTAGTCCATAACCACAAGGACGTATTTGTTTCCCTGTGCGCTCATAGGAAATGGACCGGCTACATCCATGGCAATCCGCTCGAAAGGTGCACCTGAGTTATATTGCTTCATCTGGCCATGACTTCTGGATTTCGGCCCCTTAGCTGCCATACACTCCGCGCAGTTAGCAATCCACTCTGCGACCGATTGCCGACAACCAACCCAATAGAACCTCTGCTTAACCTTCTCCAGGGTCTTCGTGATTCCCAGGTGCCCTCCACTAGGACCATTGTGGAATTCCTTGAGTACATCCGGAATTCTTACCCTTGGAACTACTATCAGGTTGCGGGAGCACTGGCCATCTTCGCTTTCCCATACCCTATGCAAACAGCCAGATATTAATTTTAAGCTGTTCCATTGTGCCCAGTACGCCTTTGCGATGGGGCTTTCCGCTGCCATTTGCTCCTTAGTTGGCCTCCTGTCCACCTCCAGTCCATGCATCAAAAGCTCCAGATCTGGATCTTCCTGCTGACACTTTCGTAGCTGTTCTTCCTTCCACTCTTCCGCTGGTGTTATTGTCGTTAGACGGACGTCTATAATGTCCTCTTTTCCCTCAGCTTTTGAGCAGTGTTTACATTCCAGGCTACATGGTCGGCGGGACATGGCATCAGCATTACCGTGGACACTTCCCTTGCGGTGCTCAATAGCGAAGTCATAACTTTGCAGTCTCTCAATCCACCGAGCTAGCTGTCCTTCTGGATTCTTAAACTGTAGTAGCCACTTCAGCGCTGCATGGTCCGTTCGAACTCGGAAACGTTGCCCATAGAGGTACTTGTGGAAATGTTTGACGCAGTCCACCAACGCTAGTAGTTCTCTCCGAGTTACGCAGTAGTTCCTCTCTGGTTTTCCAATCGACCGGCTATAGTAGGCAACTACCTTCTCCTGCCCATCAATTACCTGCGACAGTACGCCTCCTATGGCATAACCACTAGCATCCGTATCCAAAATAAACGTTGCACCTGGAACGGGATACGCTAGCATAGGTGCAGTACATAGTCGTTCCTTCAGAGTCTGGAAAGCCTCCTCCTGCTCCTTGTTCCACTCGAAGGCTCTATTTTTCCTAGTGAGCTCGTGGAGGCTTTTAGCAACGCTGGCGAAATTCGGAACAAATCGGCGGTAGTAGGTGCATAGCCCAAGAAAACTTCGTAGTTCGTGCAGGTTCCTAGGTCTTGGCCAATCCTTTACTGCTTCTATCTTTTCCTTCGCAGTACAGATGCCCTCCGTTGTCACCTTGTGCCCTAAGTAGTTCACCTCCTTCCTGAACAGTGAGCACTTTTTAGGACTTAGCTTCAGACCAGCGCCAGCTATCCTCTGGAAAACTTCTTCCAAATTGTTCAGGTGTTCCTCAAAGCTTTTACCCAATACGATAATGTCGTCTAGATACACCAAACATGTTTTCCAATGCAGTCCTTTGAGCACATGGTCCATAAGTCGTTCAAAAGTGGCAGGAGCGTTGCATAATCCAAAGGGCATCACCGTGAATTGCCACAGACCGTCTCCAACGCTGAAAGCTGTCTTCTCCTTATCCTCGTCACTTACCTCCACCTGCCAATAACCGCTCTTAAGGTCGAGTGTTGAGAACCACTTTGTTCCAGTCAACGAGTCCAGAGTGTCATCGATCCTGGGAAGAGGATAGCTGTCCTTTTTCGTCACATCGTTTAGTTTCCGGTAGTCTACGCAGTACCGCATTTGACCATCCTTCTTCTTCACAAGTACTACCGGCGAACTCCATGGACTCGCTGATGGTTCAATCACACCACTCTCGCTCATTTCTTTTATTATTTGGCTAACAGTTTCACGTTTGGCAAGTGGAACACTCCGAGGAGCTTGACGGATTGGCCTTGCATCGCCAGTATCAATGCGATGTTTCACAACGTTAGTCCTGCCTGGTTTGTCGCCATCCTTGTCGAATATGTTGCAGTATCTTCGGAGAAGTTCCTTAGCCTTGTGCTGGTATTTTTCTTCCAACCCTTCCGTCCATGCATTAATGTCTTCCGCAATGTCATTCTCGCCAATGGAATCGCTTTCAGGTAACTTTTCGCAGTTGAAGATTGCCTCTACCTCTCGACATTGCCCCAGTACAGTTCCTCTTCGGAGTTTGACTGGTGATTTGAACTCATTGAGCACTCGAACTGGGATGCGTCCATCCTTTTGCGTCTTAGCCAGGGTTTTACCAATAAGTACGTCCGGTGTAGAATTTTGTGTTGCTTCAACAACCCACAATTTGTTTGTCCCACAATCTCCATCAATCTTTGCCCACACAACTGCTTCTGACTTCGGTGGAATCTGCTCGCTTTCCTCTAGGATCACTCGCTTGCTGCTGTATGGACCATCATACCCAAACCGAAGGGGCACTTCCATGTTGTTATACGTCATAATCCTGTTCTTCATGTTGATCTTCATACCTTGATCAAGCATGAAGTCTAATCCAATGATGACTTCATCCATAATCGCCGCGACTATGAACTTGTGTAACACCGTCACATTCCCTATTGCGACTTTGCATGTTACCTCTCCTACAACTTGGGTGTCCTCACCAGTTGCTGTCCTCAACCTTGCTCCAGGTAATGGCCTTACCTCTTTAGTGACCAAATCAGATCGAATGATGGAATGTGATGCGCCCGTATCCACAGTTAGTACTCGCTCATGTCCGTCCACATATCCACCAACAGTAACGTTGCTCGCCTTTCTGCCAATTCGCGAGACGGAGATTATGGGGCATTCAATTGCGGGAGCCAGCGCGCGCCCCTTGCTGCTGGCTCGTTTTAGTTTAACGACTGGTCGGAGTTGGGCTCGTCATCCTCAGTCCTGCGTTTACGTACTGCTGAACTGTTTGACCTGTTGGAACCCGTCTTACATTCGCGTGCGAAGTGGCCTGGTTTTCCGCAACTAAAACATTTTCTAGCACCATCCTTCCTCTCGGTTGCACCAGGAGTATTCTTCCCTGCCATCGACTTGAGTGTTTTCAGGATCTCGTTCATCACGTCAGGTGTTTCCACTTCTACTCGATGGGCTTTGTAGGCTGGTCTACTTAGGAGCGCTGCCGTTTCACGTGTCTGAGCATACGAGACCGTTTCAGCAAATGTTGGCTTTGGATTTGCATACGTCTCGCGCTTGGTATACACGTCCCGCATTCCGTTGATGAACCTCTGGATTTTTACTCTTTCGAGGTGCTCACCAGATGCATCTCCAATTGCCAAATGAGCCAACCTTTCAACCTCGGAGGCGAATTCCTGTAGAGTCTCGTTGGATTTCTGGCAGCGATTCTCCAGCTCCATCTGGTAAATCTGTCTCCTGTGCTCGCTACCATAACGTCTTTCCACTGCACCCATTAACGCATCGTAACTGTTCCTTTCACAATCAGGAATAGTCTGCAAGATTTCCGCTGCAGGTCCTTTTAATGCAACGAACAGTGCAGCGGATTTATCCTCCATGCTCCAGTGATTTGCTGTAGCTGTCTTCTCAAACTGGAGCTTAAAGACTTGGAAAGGAATCGTGCCGTCAAAGGATGGAGTCTTTACCTTGGGCGCGCTGGTCGAAGAAGGTGGGCGATTCAACTGCATATCTCGGAGGCGACCTTCCAACTCTTCTACCTTAGCCTCGACTTTATCCTGTCTATCCTTGATTTGTTCGTTATCTCTAGCCAAATTCTCCTGCAGTTGTGTAATCTTTGCATCCTGGACTTCCAGCAACTGTGATACGTGTGTCTTCTGTGCCTGTAGCTGCGACGAAATATCTGACAACTGTGTTTGCATCTGAGATGACATCTGTGACATGGCAGCCAATAACGTGTTCATGTCCATAGCTGTTGATGAACTTGGAGACTTTTGCTGTTCTTCAACCTTCCCGGATGTCTGTTGCACATCCTTCGACGAACATGCGGCCTCATCCTTCTGTTCATCCTTTGCGGATGCANGTTCTAATTTGTGTAATTTATACTGGAAAAAGCTATTTGAAGCCAAGCTTCAATAAACTGTTGTGTTTTAGATATAAAGTGCGTGGATTAAAAATTAATATTCTTGTCATTCCTTGTGCATATTTGCCTCTTTTGGTGCATTTTTGTTGTTTTGCGTGAGAGTGCATTTTCCCACNCTCGTATCGCTGGATTGTTAAATAAATGCTAACGATGACCAAATTGTAGTACAATTAACTTTATTGTACAACAAACAATTTACAATACTTGCTAATACAGTAAAAACACTTTACAATAACAACGCTTTACTTCTTGTTGCTTTACTACTTGTTAACACAATTAAACTTATAGCTTGCTTATTCGCAACTCAATTCTCCGCTCACTTTACTTGTAGCTTGCTGACTTGTAACTAACTCACCTCGCTGTGGCGGCGCCCTTATATACCTGCGCTGGCACTTATGGCAACTCTAGAACATTCTGAAGTTTATCGCTCATTCTCTTTCTCTCGCTGTTCGCAGTGTTCATCCAACTTGACGTTTCTCTTTGTGGAACATTCTACGTCATTCCTCGAACATTCTGCCTATTTCTCGTTGTTCGCTTTGTGTTGCCGCAGTATTCGCCACAATATGATCGTCTTCGTGCGTCTTACGATAATTGACGATTGACTGATGCTTTGCTAGCCAGTGTTGGCGCGAATCAAATTTAGTGGTAGCCAAATTCTTTTAAAAAAGGGCTAAATAAGAGCTAAGAAAAGTTGTTGTGGCTAAAAATGGTAGGTAAAATTTTGTACTTACATAAGTATACACGCAAACATTTTCAATAAGTTATGGTATAGAAAAACAACGAACTCTGTAAAAACGCTAATATTTTATGCAACCAAAAACCTTTTTGTATGAAAGGGGAAATATACAACACCAGCTTGCTGGCTCCATCAAGTGATCGTACCATCAGGATCGAATATCGAAATATCGCAATATCTTCCACAAACACGGCTTTGACGAATTTAGTGCAAGAAATTTCCGCCAAAATACTTTTTACTTAGAAACTTGAGCATGCTGCTGCAATCATAAAATGTTCAAATAGTTTTTGAAGATGCACCAGCAGTTGGTACAATCACACCACAAGAACTTACACTCGATCGGTCAATCGACGTGATGGGCCATTTAACTAATTAAGCATATTAAGGGCCGTAAACTTATCTATTTTAAACAATAGTTAAATCGTTAATAGATAAGTTAACAGCCCTAACACTTTTACAGTATGTATGTATAAAATCGTAAGGAAATACAATACATATACATACCATGTCTGACATTCGTACTGTGCGGTCGCTTAAACATTCGTTTGAAAGAATTTCTAAAGTTACTTTGTTTATCTAAGTGCTAAGCAGTTCTAATTTGTGTAATTTATACTGGAAAAAGCTATTTGAAGCCAAGCTTCAATAAACTGTTGTGTTTTAGATATAAAGTGCGTGGATTAAAAATTAATATTCTTGTCATTCCTTGTGCATATTTGCCTCTTTTGGTGCATTTTTGTTGTTTTGCGTGAGAGTGCATTTTCCCACCTTCCGCGATTTATCATACATTTTGCTTATCATCGCTTAAATAATTTTCCTGCAAACAGCTGATTTGGCTTGCTTTATGCTTTTAAGCTTTTCGGCTCAGTGGCTTCAGCACGGTTTCTAACTCTTGAAATTACAGTACCTAGACTTCTGTGTCTCTCAAACGCTCATCTTTGCTACTATCGTACTAAAAGCGTACACTGTGTGTTTTTCTTGTACATACAAATTGTTACTACTTCGCGCTGCAATGTATTCATCCTGCTGTTTTGAAAAATGTAACATTAACAAGTAAGAAAGTCTAAGTTCGGGCGGAGCCGAACATTAAATACCCG